AAGATGGATAAAAAACCTGGATCAGATGGATTAAGCTCTTTAAAGCCATTGTTTCTTTATTTTTTTAGACTTTCCAGTGACTGGTTTGGAACCAATAGACTGGTGCGAAGCCAATGTGGTACCCTATATTTGAAAAAAGAATTAAAGTCTTTATATAAGGTATTTATAGTGCCGCGCTCCTATTTATATACATATATATCTCTATATCCAATCTGTACTCATTCTGCTTAATTAATAACTATATAAATCAAATGTAAATCATAATGATAAGTGATATTCCATAAACTAAAATGATTGAATAATTATCAATATATTACCAATACACACATAAACAACCTAAATTCGTGTGATAAATAATAATCAATATAGGACCTTGATATAATGTGAATGATAAATAATAAATCGATGAATGAAATACAAATATAAATATAATTAGTGCCACTCTAATTATATGTGATCAATCCAGCAATATTTGTGCAAGAATATATTCCAATGTGCACGTGCATTAGTGTAATACATAAATAAATAAATAAAGTCTTTATAAACAAGTGCCAAAGTGCAGGTGATTCCTTATTCCCTCTCGCCAGGTGCCTTATGGTCTCCCTATGCGCTCACCTTTATATTTGCCTGAATGAATTTAGGCAAATAGGCTTTTTGATCCTTCCAGGATCGGTGAATTAATGCTCTGTATTTAGATGTACCAGGGTATGGATGTCTTCACGTGCCGCTTGGAGAAGGTATAAGAAAGTATGAAGCATCTGTGTGCTCAATTCTGAAAGCTGGAGGTATTGAACACTTCTGGTTTGTGAATATTTCAGTCTACATGGTTAGCACTTCTTCCTGGGAGCACTCGGGTCATTGGTTTGAATCCCAACCACAGCGCCACCTGCCTGCAGTTTGCATGTTCTCCCTGTGCCTGCGTGGGTTTTTCCTCCGGGTACTCTGGTTTCCTCCCACACTCCAAAGACATGCTGATGATTTTCAGACTGATTCTGGTGCTGTCCATAGCAGCTGCTATTAGAGACCCTTAAATCCCACATGGGTGAGAGGAGGAAATGAGAAGGAGATGACCCCTGGAGGGGAATAAGGAGATATAGCTGGTCTTAATATCGGTGTATGAGCAGTTGCTAAAGGAGAAAGAGGAGAGTACAGGAGTACCTACATCCATACCCTTGTACATCTAAATACAGAGCATTAATTCACCGATCCTGGAAGGATCAAAAAGCCTATTTGCCTAAATTCATTCAGGCAAATATAAAGGTGAGCGCATAGGGAGACCATAAGGCACCTGGCGAGAGGGAATAAGGAATCACCTGCACTTTGGCACTTGTTTTATAAAGACTTTATTTATTTATTTATGTATTACACTAATGCACGTGCACATTGGAATATATTCTTGCACAAATATTGCTGGATTGATCACATATAATTAGAGTGGCACTAATTATATTTATATTTGTATTTCATTCATCGATTTATTATTTATCATTCACATTATATCAAGGTCCTATATTGATTATTATTTATCACACGAATTTAGGTTGTTTATGTGTGTATTGGTAATATATTGATAATTATTCAATCATTTTAGTTTATGGAATATCACTTATCATTATGATTTACATTTGATTTATATAGTTATTAATTAAGCAGAATGAGTACAGATTGGATATAGAGAGATATATGTATATAAATAGGAGCGCGGCACTATAAATACCTTATATACTGATCTGACACTACCAAGTGAGTTTGTGTAAGTGCCAGCGCACCAAACACCAAAGAATAGTAAATAATTGTTTAACACCCACTGAATGCTTCATTCATAATAGCTCACAAGGATTCACACTATACACAGCACGAATTAAAGTCTTTACCATGTAATCTTGAACCAGTTGCCTACCAGGCACTTATACCCCTTTCCTGCCCACGCCAATTTTCAGCTTTCAGCGCTTCGCATTTTGAATGACAATTGCGCGGTCAAGCAACACTGTATCCATATGAAATTTTTATCATTTTTTTCACACATATAGATCTTTCTTTTGGTGGTATTTAATTGCCACTCTGTGTTTTATTTTTTGAGCTATAAACAAAAAAATCCAAAAATTTCAAAAAAATTGTTTGTTATAAAATTTTGCAAGCAGGTAATTTTTCTCCTTCGCTGACGTGCGTTGATGAGGCTGCACTGATAGGCAGCACTGATAGGCTTCATTGATAGACAGCACTGATGAGCTGGCACTGATGATGCACTGATAGGAGCCACTGATGGGCACAGGTGGGTGGCACAGGTGGGTGGCACTACTAGGCACTGATCATCAGGGCACTGATGATCAGTGCCGATCGCTTCTCTGACAATTGCCGGTTATCGGCAGTACTTTTCTCACGCTGTGACAGCATGAGGATAGTGCAGTCGATAACCGGCAACTGTATTTACCTGGTGATCTGCTGTGTCATTGGAAAAAGGGAAAAAGGAAGGATTTTTCCCCTGTTGGAGCAAATTGGACCATGCTTTATAAGGGTTTTTGCCTTCCTTTATAAGGGTTTTTTCCTTCCTTTGGATCAACAGTAGGTATAGGATTTTGTATACAGAGGTTTTTAGTTTATTTATTCATTTTTTTTTCTACTGGTTGAACTAATTGCATTTGTGGCATTTTTAAATCTGACTATCTGACCTCTACCGATAGGCTTCTTCCCTTTGATGGACTTAAACTCGGGTTTCACCTCTCAAATTGGTATTTTTTTAGATACCTTCAACTCCGTCATGCTTTTGTAGTGCAGTTTGGGGGTACTACTATGGTTGGCAAATCCACAGAGCTGGAGCAGCTGCTTAGCTCTGATACTCTTAAGAAGCCCATGTCTCAGGTGTATAAAGAGCTCTTTGCAATGGATCTCTGTGGTCCCAGATTTGAAGGGAGATGACTGGGATGATACGTGGGATTATCCTTTCAGCAACTTGGTATCGGCCAGGGATCATCTCATACTATTTAAATTGGTGCATAGATTATATTACACACCTGCTAGGCTGGCATTTATGTATGCTCCAGCTTCGGCTGAATGCTAGCACTGCACATCTTCCTTGGTGGACTTTGATCTTATTTTTTGGTCCTGTGCACAGATTCAAGATTTTTGGAGTGGGGTGGTTCGGTTCGGTCAATATTACAACATTGCAAATTCCACAAACTATATCGGTGTGTCTTCTTGGTCTGGTGGAAGGGTTAGCGCCTTTACATGCATAGTGAACCCTCCTTTCTGAGACCCTGTTCTATGCTCGTAAGGCTATTGTGCTCCATTGGAAGAAGCCTGTAGCTCCCACTACCTCATTTTGGAAATCCTTGATTAATAAGATGCTACCATTATATAAGGCGACCTACTTGAACAGAGGTTCACCCATAAAGTTTGATAAGGTCTGGCATAGTTGGGTTTTGGCCTCCTCTACTCTAGCCTGATTTCTGGAAGGGTTTACAGATGCACCTGCTATTATATAGGTTCTTGAATTTGGTTGGAAATTAGCTCATATACACGGATTGTATAATATTACCCTGCTTGTAGTCTGATGGGTACATCATATGTACAGTTTACATTTTGTACGATTGTGGCACTTGCATTTTTCTCTGTTTATGTAAAGGCATTGCACTATTGTTGTGAAGGGGGGGGTGGGGGAAATGGGTTATTTTTGTATTGTGTTTTTGCTGCTGAGACAGTTGCTGTATTTTTACATGTTGAAATCAATAAAAATAATTAAAAAAAAATATATTTGTCCTCTACTATGGAGTAAGATCACTCTGCAACATCCAGATTTAGAATAATTTTTTTTTCGAAGCCAGCTCTTCTGCTTCCTAGGCCAGCTCTCTGCTCAAGGAATACAGGTTATGCAGGAAGTAACAAGTAACAAGGTGAAATACTACACCAGAACGCTAAATCCATTGTGTGATTATGCAGAGTTTAAAATGCGTAAATCAAAATTACAAAACTTTTGGCAGGTAAAACAGTAAAAATATATGTAAATCAACGTTGAATTTAAATGTTTGCAAAATTTCTACTTATTTCACCAAAAGTGACCTTACAAAAACCTTCAGTTTTTCGGTTTGAGGTACAAAAACATCCGTCCTAGTGTAACTCCATTTATTGGTATAACACAAAGATTAAAACCTTTGCACTCACATGATATGATACCTGTCAGGCACATGAATAAAATATCCTCCTCAGCTTCTCCCTGGTGGTCACTGTGGTGGGAAATGAGGACTGGAGTAATAATGGTGCTCTCTGGATGACAGTTCTCCATGTCAGCAGAGCGGTGGTGATAGAGGAGAGCGTGCTGGCGCTTCTGCACAAGCGCCCGGAACAGCCGGAGCCACGCTCTGTCCCAATGGAACACAATCCAGGACGGAAGAGAGAGGTAATCAACATGGTCTGTGTGGTTAATATGATGATGCATTTTAGAGGCGTGGCCTCCTTTATCAAGTCACAGCAGGTAGTTATAACATGTTTGTTATTTAAAAAAAAATATGAACCTTTAGAATCGTTTTAATCTTTTTGTTACACTAGGGTGGATGTATGCTCTCTGTTTTTTTTTGTTTTTGTACAAACCATATTCTGCCTGTGGAATACCTGGATAGCTGCTATGCCTACTTTTTACTGTACCATATGTCCCAGCCAGCCAAGATTTCTGTGGACCAGCGCCGTAGTATTTTTTCATTATATGGACATCACTTGTTTGAAGCAATTGGGACAAAATGGATTGGCAGTGGGACACGATGGGCTGGTAGTGTGACCCTCAACATCTAAAGCTTGGCCATTTTTTAGAGCCAGGGTCCGGTTCTATAAGTCAAACAATGGATACCCTTGTTCTACTTCATCAGCTATTAGATCATAAAGCAATTTGCAAACAACATTGTCCAGATTGAAGAGATTATGAGATGGTATAAAAAAATTTGGTAGACTCGCATATTTCAGATGTACTTGAAAAGAACGTATATATCTGTCAAAGCACATATCCAGGTCTTCTAATTTCCATTCTTCATCTCTAGGATATTTTGCACATAGATGAAGCAAGGCAGTCTTTGCATGATATGAACAGAATTTATCCAGTTTTTTTTTTGCTGTCTTCCATTATGTTTAAGCAGATCCAGTAAATGCTTCAGCAGTTTAAGGCATAGTTTCCTGTCAAAGTATAACAAAGTAATAGTTATTATAAGGAGTCAATTATTTTTTCTGTATATTAAAGAGTAAGTCAGCTGAAAAGTAATATTTATGTTCTAGGGAAAGAGCCTGATTTCTTAAATGTTTTGGATACTCCAATAGCAAAATCTCCTTGCGGTAATTTCAAATTTTTTCACATTTTTTTTGTCTACTTAGATGTTTTAGGTGTTCCATCTCCACTTTTTGTGTCACTGCACAAAGCAGTAACAGGGCTGGATCTAGCCAGTCTGATGTGGGGGTGCAGTAAAAAAAAAAAGGTCAGGGGGGCAGGGGATTGGAGGTCAATAGGACAGTGTACAGAAACAGAAATCAGTAGGGCAGAGTACAGTTGGTTAGCAGTGTCAAATGTGTGGATGTGGGAATTGAATTTTTATTTTGTTCAACCCGCTGGTTGAACAAAAAAAATGACTGATGTATGGGATGCCTTACTGAGCCTACCTTAAAGTGTAAGTTCACCTTTATAAAAAAAAAAATCTGTAAAGTGACATAACACTGCACCCTTCCCACACCACCCCCCAACCCTCCTGTACTTACCTCGCATGATCCTGCACTGTCAGGTTTCTGCATGCCACATGGTTTAACCTCTTCGTGCCGGCTGCACGCAAATGTGCGGCCTCCCGGCACCTGGGCCTTGACGCCGAACGGCCGCACATTTGTGTGCAATTAAGAAAAACATATGTGCTGAGAGCGCGCGCCCTGTGCTCTCCCAGCACACATGTCCGGTACTCATGGAAAGGCCTCAATCTCCTCTTTCGATCGGGACCTTTCCCGATCATGTGACGACGAATCATGGTGGTCACATGACCTTAAAACCCCGCCTCCTGGCTTCTGAAACCTTTAAAGGGAGGCACCGGCGCCAAGGGGTTTAAAGCTCCACTCAGTACTGTGCAGCCAATGCGATCCAGACAGATTCTAATTGGTCAGCACTATCACATGAATGGCACTTCCTGTCAGCACTGCAAGGAGAGGAGAGGAAGCCAAAGGGATTTCAAATCCCCTGATTAGTGGAGCCGCATGCAGAAGCCTGACAGTGCAGGATTGTGGGAGGTAAGTACAGTGGGACTGGGGGGATGGATAGGGGTCCAGTGTTAGGTCATCTTACAGATTTTCTATAAAGGTGAACTTACACTTTAACTACTTGCCTACCCGGAACGTATACCCCCTTCCTGCCCAGGCCAATTTTCAGCTTTCAGCGCTGTCGCACTTTGAATGACAGTTGTGCAGTCATGCAACACTGTACCCATATTAAATTTTTATCATTTTTTTCACACAAATAGTGCTTTCTTTTGGTGGTATTTAATCACCGTTGGGTGTTTTATTTTTTTCTATAAACAAAAAAGTGCAAAAAAATTTGAAAAAAAAAAACCAAATAATTTTTCTCCTTCACTGATGTGCATTGATGGGGCTCCACTGATAGGCAACACTGATGAGGTGGCACGGATAGGCAGCACTGATGTGCACTGATAGGCAGCACTGATGGGTACTGATAGGTGGCACTGACTGGTGGCACTGATGGGTAGCACTGCTGGGCACTGATGGGTGGCACTGATGGGCACAGGTGGGCGGTACTGCTGGGCACAGGTGGGCAGCACTGCTGGGCACTGATCATCTCTGTATTTACCCGGTGATCTGCTATATCAGTGGACCAAGCTGATCACGTGGTAAAAGGCTGCTGTGATTGGTCTTTTACCACATCACGTGATCAGCTGTGTCTGTAGGACACAGCGATCGTGGAGATCGCCGGGTGCGTGCCCATTGGGGTGCATGGGGAGGATGTCATATAACGCCCTCTCAGAACTGTTTTAACCGCGCTATAGCCATCATTCGGCTATAGAGCTGTTGCCAAATGGCTAAAGAAGAACTTCATTAAAACCAACAACAGTTGAGACAATGAAACGCCCTGATCAGGTCTATGTACAGCATAATGTATAAAGTATATGGGTCAGGAGCAGGGGCGGACTGACAACTCATGGGGCTCCCGGGCAATAGGGGATCATGGGGCCCCTGTGTCCTTGCCCAAACTCAAAAAAGACTATGAAAAAGGTAGCAGGGGTATCTCATGGGGCCCCCTACTGACCCCGGGCCCTCGGGCAGTGCCCAAGTTTCCAAATGGTCAGTCTGCCCCTGGTCAGGAGTAAGAAAAAAAAAAGAAAAACATATAGAATGTAGCAGTCAGGATGAGCACCATGTTCACATCAGAGTTCTCCCTTATATCAAAGTCAACTGTATTCCCCTTACACATCAGAAGTCCCTCCTAAATTGGTGTCTTCAAAGACTCGCCTTACATCAGAGTTCACAGAGTCCCACCTTACAGCAGAGTACCTCCCCTTACATCAGAGCCCAGCAGAGTGCCCCTTTCACCACTGGCAGGTGGCTGGCATGAAAAGGCTTTCAAAAAAAATCCCCTTGTTGCTGGATCTTAACTGCAAATGCACAGTTCCAGAGCCAGCCAATTAGCAAACTGCCAGGTTCGGCTGACACTCATGCGGTGGAGGGTGTAAATATAAGCCATGCCTGATAAGTGCCATGATGTCACTGTACAGGGGCACACACGGACCTGCCCTGCTGTCTGATCTGAGGCCGAGCCTGGCAATGCTCTAATAGGATGGCTCCATTATTGTGCATGTGCAGTTCAGAGCTGATGACAAGGGGATTTTTTAGGACAGGAGAATAGTGCCTGTAAATTTACAGATGGTTGACAACACATGGCTGGACTGTACGCATGCTGCCACTGGGATTCTTTGTTTTGTGGCCATGACAAAAATTATACCCTGTGTTGCTTTCTGTGGGCACAGTGCCTGATAACTGTGCTCTAGTCAAGTGAATGGGGCTGCTCTGCAAGCACCTCACAACTGCATGCAATGTATACGGTTGCGGTGTGCTAATGTGGGGTTCCAGGAGTTAAAGCAAGTGGTGAGGAGGTGATACAACACCTACTCGTTGCCTGTCAAATGCTCTCTAAAGAGTGATCTGAACACAGATCACTCTTCCGAGACCGAGACCAAAGCTAGTGTGAAGGAGCTCTTAAAGGGATTCTGGGCAGGAGGGGGTTAAACAGAAGCATGTAGTAGTTGGTCAGCCATCCTCAATAGTACTTGACATGAAATCAACTCGCAAGTTTGTGAAGCTCATAGGAGAACAGCGAGGGGGAGAGAAGGGAGGAAGATGGGTACAGGTCAGTCATAGAGCAGTTCTCAGTGTTCACTCCCCCCCAGGCTGGGATTGGAAGACTCAGACAGCATCATCAATCATGCAGAGAGGATGGAGCTTCTAGGGGCTGTACTTCATATCTCCCACCCATATCCCCTTTCAGAGGCACCGCACTGGCCATGTGTGGGTGGGGCAGACAGGGGTAGAGGGGCTGACGCAGATGAGTCCTGTCTCTTCTCCTGTCTATGCAGAGGTGAGGGGGGGAGGAGAGCTCCTTGCTTGGGGTCTGTGACACACTGAGACTTGGCTGATGCAGCCAGCTGCCCCTACACCCTGTTTCCCTGACCAACGGTTTGGCAACCCTGCCTGGGCACACTATCCATGGGGGGGTTGCCAGGGGGGGCACAGTCTACCCCAGCACCCCCCTAGATCCAGCCATGAGCAGTAAGTGAGGAAATCCCTTGTCACCAAGGTCACCAGAACTGGTGCCCCTATTGGAAGATATCCCTACTAATCCTGTTCTGGGGACAACCTATACTATGTGATTTTATTTTATGTTCACTTCTCATTATAATCGGAAATAAGACAAACAGAGAGGGTGAATGTCCCTAATGGGAGCACAGACAGCAATAAAAACCAGATATTCTAATCCCTTTAGTTATATTCTAAAGCTGAACTCCAGGAATTCAGCCACTTTGTAAAATGTGCTGGCATAATATGAATTAAGTCCAGCAAGGTGCATGCCACCTACTGAGCTCAGGGAGTACAGATATCACAATATTTCTGGAGCTCTGACAAGAGAGACACTGTTTTCACACACAGCTACTCTGCCTGCCACTCCTCTCTGCCATTCATTTACAGAAGCTTTTGTATTCCTGAATGGGTGTCACGTACCTGATAGGAGACTGAATTGACAAGGTCGGCCTCACTTGTGTCACTAGCCCTGACCCCGCTGAGGTTGGAACAGAGGGAGTCTAGGGACCAGGGGGACAAGAGCACCTGAGGTGGTTGCTTGTGGCTCTTGCAGATGATGGCCTGAGAAGGCAGTGTATCCTCTGATTTGAGTATTGTAATAGCAGACAGAGCAGGTTCTGGTTAATCCCTGATGTGCAGCAGAGCAGGTAGGTAGCCAGGACACAGGACAGGAGCAGGGTCAAAGGAAGCCAAGGTCATCAACAGTCAGTCAGCAAGGTACAGAATCAGTAGGAGAAGCCAAAGTCAGGAGCAGAGCCGAAGTCAGGAACCAGGAGCAGGAGAGCAATCAGAGTCGGGTCAGGAACAAGCCGGGTCAGCACCAAAGGAATCACACAGGAACAGCAGGCCACAGGGGGAGGCTGAAGACCAGTCAGCAGTGAAACATCATTGAGGTGCTCCTTAAATAGCCCGCCCAGCGCCGACAGGCGTGCCTGGGTCCCAGTGCCTGCCAGTTCCATCATTGGTGACAGGCGCGCCTGGATCCTAGTGCCCGCCTGCCTGTATGCCTTGTCGGGATCCTGCGCCTGTGCAGATTCATGTGCTGCAGCGATCTTCTTGTTCCCTGCCATTGCCCCCCCCCCTTATGGGCAGCCTCCGGATGCCCACTAGGGCTCGTTTCTCAGGATGATGACGGAGGTAGGCTTGAACTATCCGTAGGGCATGGACATTAGTGGACGGTTCCCAGGAATTATCTTCTGGTCCGTAACCCTTCCATTTGATGAGGAACTGGGTCTGTCCGCCCCTTTTCCTACAGTTCAGAATAGCCTCAACCTCATACTCTTCGTTCCCTTCGACCAACACTGGCGCAGGTGACTCCAGATTCCGGTTAGGAAACC